TTAAACTCCAAAATTTTTTCCATGTGATATTTATTCTCCTTTCAACCTCTTCTGTGTCCCTGGATTTCCTAAAAGATATTTGTTTGCCTAAGTATAAGTAAGTCCCTTCATATTCTAGCAAGGCTCCATTTATTATTACAGGGTTCTGAGTGCTGTTTGTCATCATTTTTGTTTTTGAGGTGTTTAGTTTTAAACCTATGCTTTCACTGACCGTGCATAACTCTTTTATCATTTCTCCTAATTGACTTGCTGTTTTGGAGAAGAGCACTATGTCATCAGCAAATCTAAGGTTGCTTAGAAAATATCCGTTGATGTAAATTCCTTTTTGTTTCCAACTCAGGTCTTTCATTATATTTTGTAAAACAGAGATGAATATCTTGGGTGATAGAGGATCCCCCTGCTTAACACCTCTACATATTTTGATTTTTGAACCTATTCTATCCAGTTTTACTCTGCTTTCACTATTGCTATAAATATGTTTCAGAATAAGTTTCTGGGAGTTCTTGACTATATAAAGCTTGCCATATGCTTTCGTGTGATATAGAGTCGAAAGCTTTCATATAGTCAATGAATGCTAGATAGAGTAGTTGCTTGAGTTCTTGATGCTTCTCTATTATTTGTTCTAAGGTATGGATGTGATCGGTTGTACAGTATCCTTTTCGAAATTTTTGACAATTTTTGACATCTACCAACCTCTTAAATCCAAGTACCTATAGATTCGTTTTTAATCATAACTCGTAACTTATAGGGTAAGTATATACCGTTTCATTTAGGTTTTAATGAATGTCTACTAAAATTCAAGGCAGTGCTTATGCAACAATAGAACCTGCCCAACGATGTATTTTTCGTTATCAAACTACACTAGTGTATGAAAACTCCCTAGTACTAAGCGTAAAAAAACTTTTTATCTATCAATTCATACGAAGATACCATCGTATAACTGCACGATATATCAAAATTCCAAAGAAAAGGACATTCAAATATCCGACCCCTAGAACAAGAGCTATTTTTTGCAAAAAAACACTATAGTTACATTGCCCCGCATTTATACAATAAGTTATACGCGTACTTTAAATTAAACTTAAATAATTACAGTAACCACCAAATAAAGGCAAGGATCAGAGTGTAGTTAGAGAATCTCGATTAAGAGAGCACAGAAGCACTTATGCCGTAGGTTTACCACACGCAATACTCACACACATATATTTCAATCAGACTCACCCACTTACTCACTTACACCTACACTAACACACGAACACACACACACACACAAAACAAGCACTTAAAATAACAATTTTTTAATTTCTTATTTATGTCTGTGCCTGTTTAACTAACTAAATAACTAAATTGTTATATAGAAATAAATTAACCTTTTGATAAGGCTATCTTTAAGGGGAGGAACTGGTTCCTGAAACACACTTACACTAGCTCAGGGGCCAGGGAATCAATAAGCTTAACAGTGGTAGAGCCACGCGGCAGCTTTTGCTGTCGCACGGATGGGCCGCCTCGAACCGGGGTAGTACCACGACCTCACAGAAAACCAGCGTGAAGTAGAGGTTTACCTTTGCATTTCGCTTGGTGAGTGCAGGTAGCCGGAGGCCCTTTTTACTGGAAATGAGGCATTCCATCTTAGTCCTCACGGGTGACAAAGCATCTACATTTTGATTTGTAACAGAGGATAGATGTAGATGTCTATGGGCCGCAGCAACCACTTACCATCAGGTGGACTGTGTGCTCGTTTGTCACCCTTATCGTATAAAAAAAGCTTATGTAAGAAGGTTGTTATTATTAAATAAATAAATTGTTAAAATCAAATAAATATACAATATAACTAAAGATAAACTTTCTTATTAAACTTCCAAAGCAAAGCGAGCCTTATGGGACCATGATAAGTTTCGTAGGATATCATATTGTCAGAACTGTGACGCATTTGGATGACTCTAGCAGTTATCGCATTCACGGTCATACGAGTATACTTAAATATGAATATAGAACTAATCTAACACGGAAAGTCCACATAGATAAAGCCGAATACGTGTTTGCAATTCTAAATCACGTTTACCGATAAACTTTATCTGTATTATATCTAAAATAAAAATAAAACTAATTGCAATTTGGTTTTGTTTAGTAAAAATGAGATCAATTACTCTCACCTAGTTTGACGTTAACTGCTATAAACTAAACAGAATTTTTCCTTCTTCGTAATTACCGATCTGGCAATAGCAAACGCTGAGCTGAAAAAATATCTGAAGAACGACATGAGCGTGAACACGATGTAATAATGAGAGTTGTGATGACCAAGCGTTTTGTTAGTTTAGCAAGAGTATCGCATGAGACATCAATAGTTGATATGTACTGAAAAAAATATTTACGTTTATGAGTAAATTCAAAAGACTAGCTTAAGGACAGACTTGATAATAATAAAGTTGTTTTAATAATAATTTAAACTTACAGAATATGTTGTCTGTATTTTTATTACTTAACTAAAATAGTAAAGAAAAGGCACGAAATTGTACATAGTCACAACAACCACGCAACGAGTTTGGAACGTGTGTGTCGTATTCAAATTCCGGTGTATACTACAACTTTGTAATTTATTTAATTATTTGGTGAGTTTCTTAAAAAAAATTCTTTCGATTGTGACGCTGTACCCAACCACAAAGTTAACATAAAAAACAAAAAATGTATAAATACATTGATCGCATATATTTTTCGGGCACTTTCAACTTTGGATATAGATATAACGATAATCGTTTTTGTTCGATACATCTCACAGCTCGCGTCTATTGTTTAATTGAAACAAAAGTTTAAGTGTTGTAGTGAAAACAAAATAATAGCGACAATAAATTAATTTAATTTATATTAAGAAAAGGCAGTCCCAACTCGTTTGAGAATGAAAGAAGTCGCGAACGTGTGTTGATTACGAATACGAGTCTTAAAACGATAGTATCAAGCTGCTTCAAAGGGATAATAGAATGATATGTAAAAGATATTCAAGGCTCCCGAACAAATCCCGTTAACAGTACTTCCCGTATCAAAACATATTTCTGCCGGTATAAAAAAAAGATAAAGTTGTTGTTTTTTTTATGCATGTTACGCGATATCTTTGCCAATTGTGAACCGATTATGATTATTTTTTTATTAAACAGATTATATCTCAAGAATATTTTCTTCAATTTAAATTAGACCGCTTTTTAAATCTGAAGAGAAATTTTGAAAATTTAAAAATCCTTATACGTGGGTCAGAAAAGTTTCCGACCTAACAAAGATACAAGACATTTTTTCTTAACATTTTTTACTATTTTTCTACATAGTCTCCTTGTAACTCTACACACTTCTCCCAGCGATGCTCCCATCAAACTGAAGGCAGAAAAACGCCGTTTACGGGTTACCCGTCCAAATAGTAAACGGCGTTTTTCTCTACAAAATAATTGTTCACGAAGGTGATTGCCTCCTCATTTGATGAAAGTTTCTGTCCTCCGAGCGCAATTTTTAGATGAGGGAAGAAAAAGTGGGGCTGGATCTGGTGAGTAAGGCGGATGGTCAAGCAGTTCAAACCGTAATTCGTGGATTTAAGCCATAGCAATCGCTGAGGTGTGAGACGGCACGTTGTCATGGTGAAACAGGATTTGCTTTTTCTGCAAATGTGGCCGTTTTTCTGCCTTCAATTTGTCAAGTAATGATGCGTAGTATACTCCTGTAATGGTTTTTCCTTTTTAAAGATAATCGAATAAGATAACTCCATGACTATTCCAATAAACAGTTACCATCACTTTCCCAGCCGAAATTTGACTGTATTTTTGTTTCGGGCGTATAAGGGTGTATCAAAATTTCATCTACATTAATTAATTGACGCCAAAACTCGGATTTATTGCACCTAAACTACGCCAACAGAGTGTTGTGTTTATTCAAACACGTTTTTGGTCTACACCCAACGCGCTGACAGCTTTATCATGCCTAAATCCTGATTTAATATGTGACAAACACGTTTTTCGGACATTCTCATAGCCTCTGTTATCTCTCTCACTTTAATTCGGCGGTCGTCTAGCATCATTTGGTGAACTTTAGCGATGTTATCGTCAGTACTTGCAGCTTTTGGACGTGCCTAACGTTCATCGTCTCTCAAGCTCTCACGGCCACGTTTAAATTTAGCTGCCCTAAATTTCACTGTGGTAAATTATGGTGCAGAGTCCCCATACACAGAGTTTAACTCATCTTTGTTTTTCGTAGGCGTATTTTCTTTCAAAAACAAAAATTTAATGACAGCTCGATACTTAATTCTTTTCATTTTCACAAAATCACTCACATCGACTCACTCTAACGACTGTCACATAACAACTACGCGTCCAAAATGGCTGAATATTTGGTGCATAACTGTCAAGAGGCACAACTAGATTCAATAGCTTTTATTAACGAGTGCTGCCATCTTCACGTTGAGGTCGGAAACTTTTCAGACCACCCTAGTATGTATTGCTTAAGTTGTCAATATTTTTTTAAATGATGGTAATTTGAATAAGGTGCCTCGGACATTTTCATGTTTTACTTAATTTTGAAAGCAAATCAAAATTTATCAGTCACACTTTAGGTCTTTTTCAAGAAGAAGCAATAAAGTTTCTAATAAAAATAGCCCAACCTTCTAAACATGAAATAATTGCTTAACTTTCGATGTATTTTTTTTAAATACAACAACCTATATAATAGAAACAAACCATTGGCAGCCTAATACCGACTAAAAATAAAAAATGTGATTGCCAATCCGCCTGCCACGCATGAATATTATGGCAAATTTTCCCTTCTATGAGGCAATCTTTGGGGGAGACTTTGTTCAGCAATTCAATTATAATAGGCTGTCACGGTAACGGTAACTGTTAAGAAAATTTAAAAGTATAAATTTTAAAAGAAGTTAAAAGTATGTATCTTTATTTGATAAATAGTAATTTCATTTTTACAAGAAAATGGTTCGTAAAACTTTCGTTCATAATACATCAAAAAATAATTTATTAACCTTTCATACAGTTTTTCAAAGGCGATAAAACAACAGCAGTTGTATACAAAATGCAAAATATTACTAAAAATGGTATAACACTTGACACGGGGACCCATTTTTCAACTGAAGGTCTGAATAGGCCCAAAACGAAACATAACGATGACGCAAGAAAGCCAAATACTCCAGTTACAACGTGGATACACTTCATAATCCTCTTGGAAACTCCGTGACCATTAGTACACGTCCCGGTGAACACACTTAGTAGAATTAGGCAGCTTGCTATAACACCTGTATAATTATTATTAATTTAATATCTTAGAAATTATGTTATATTGTCCTCCAGACCGAACCTCGGTCACGATGGCCAATCTTAACGGCGACTAGGCATCTGGCAATAAGATTATAGTGCACAACTGGGTGCGCAAGCAAAGGTGCACTCTCTATTCCCAAACTCTCATAGTTCAATGGGACGAAAATCCGTCAAGACTGGAGAGAGATCAGGCGCACGACCAACAGTTGTACGTGCTTTCTGAGAGACAAGGGAGAAACATCGCCAACTTTCTGATTCCAGGCTACTACTGACTGAGAATTTTTTAACAGAATAACCCAATTACTTGATTTTGCCCGGACCAGGGATTCAAACCCAGGACTTCATGATCAGCAGTCTTGCTTACGACCACTAGACGTACAAAGCAGTTAAAATTATAATAGGAATCAACATTTTCTTTAAACACAAAAACAAACAAGGTTACATTGACGCTGCTTACTTTAGAACTTTATACCAATGTCTTTCGGAGGCCTTAGAGCGTTCGATACTTTTCCATTACCACTATTCCACTCTTCTCTTCTAGGAAAATACAGTTAAAGGTAATAAAAATTACAAAAATGCCAAAAATATATAACCTGTAATTGCATGTACAGTTGTTTTTAGTCTAAATTCAGTTTCTAAAATTATTGCAGTTGATCCAAGTATGCAACATAAAATACCAACAGTTTCTAGAAATATATGTTCAAACTTCTTTTCCTTCTCGCTCATTGGAATAGTTGATCCGTTGTAATAACTAAAACTAAATATTCCTGAAGGTACAAGCAACTGAAACTGTACGATAACATTTAAAATTAATAATTTCTTAATTTTAACAAATCAGGTAAAGTAAAATAAACAATATCTGAATATAGACTACTAACGCCAATAGTGCACAAAAATATATGCAAATTTGTTAATATTTCCGATTTAAAACTCAACACATAAAATAGTATTATTATATTCGTAGCTCCAATCAGCGTCTGTGATAGTGTAACGAAGGCTGCAGCCCACCTTCTGCAAAGATAAACTTTTTTAGGTGAATCGACAAGAATAATTTTCACCTTTCCTACGAATTCACGATTTAGATTATTTTTATCATTATCAACACTATCTTGAAAGCCTTCCACAATTTCCATTTTGAAAAACAAACAGAATTAACAAATAAAACGAAAAATGGTCGGAAATTTATTTCTAAATTTTGTGGTGTTTATGTAGGCAAAAAATGTCATCTGTTATTCGCATTCATTCTAGAACCTATTACTATATGTATATTCTGTCTATGATTAAAAACCCAATTATTACACGTGATTACATACTCTTTGGTATCTTCTATACAAATAAATACAATTGAAGTGTCTATTTGTAATGCCAAAATTATTATTTTTGTACTAAATGCATATGAAAGTATATACGGTACTTATAAAGAAAACTACAATTTTTAAAATTTTTGTCTGTCTATCTCTCTGTCTGTTTGTACCGGCTAATCTCCGAAACGGCTAGACGGATTTTGACGGGACTTTCACTGGCAAATAGCTGATGTCATAAGGAGTAACTTAGGCTACTTTTATTATACAAAAAGAAATAGGGTTCTGCGCAAAAAAATTAAAACATTAAATAACACGCGGGCGAAGTCGCGGGGAACAGCTACTCTACATATAAAGTACTCTCTGAAGCTTTGGATCTCGGACAAAGTAGGTATTTTTGTACATTTGTGTTCAAATTTCAGTTAATAAAATACAGATAAGTTTTATACAACAGATAATACAAGAATTTTTATCTATTCAAATATAACACTAACGCAAAAAAAAAAATTTAGATTGAAGTAAATTCGTATTACATATATACTTAAACACAAAACCGACTTTAATGTAATGTGTTTTTTTTTTTTCATTTATTACAGCCTACCAAAGATTCCTGCTGAACCTGTTCTCCTTCTAGATTGCCTTAATGGGAGATGAAACGATAAATTTCACATAATTAGCTGAAGGCCGAGACAATCTCGAGTTTAAACTTATTTTTGTAATCTTTGATTATTGCTTAATTAAGTGTTTGATTATCTCTATGCCTGTCTTGTCTATTTTAATTAAGTGAAGAGAGAGAAAGAGAGAAGATTTTTAAGCATTTCTTAAGTTGACGTCGATTTTTATGACGAACTCTTATATAATCTGTGCACGAGAACATGCTCAGTGAAGAACGAGATTTGCCGAGACGCAAATAGTGTGACTTAAATAATGCTCAGAGGTTAAGTTAGGAACTATGTATCCTAATACTCTAAGTCGAGAACTTAAGAAAACTTCGACAATGTCGCCACCTTTGCTTCGACGTTGACGCTTGATAACTTGTTGTTCTATCTCATAGTGTCTGTGATTTTCTAGAACTGAATTAACAGAGAAATAACGCTGAGTTTATTCACGATCTCCTTTTAAAGTTAGGCAGCACAGGCCTCCTCTCATTTCTGAGAGGGTTTTAAGGCAAGGAAGTGTCTACCCCAATGCGTGTTGGCGAACTTCACATGTCTTCGAAATATATTTTTTCTTATTTCTCAGGCATGCAGATTTCCTCACGATGTTTTCCTTCACCACAGAGCACGTGCTAAATCAGAACATAAAATTGCAATTAACAATTTTATTGGTGCCGGCGGGATCGAACCCGGGTTGCTCGCGTACTGTGAAATTTACAGCGAGCGCTTACCTTCTGAGCTACAACGGCTTAGCAAGTTCCGTTTATCTGTACCAAAACCACAAAAATTATCTGAGTATAAGAAATATTTACAAACACGTTAACAGAAGGGTCGCGCATACGGAAATCGACTTCACCATACCTCCCAAATTTTCAAATCTTATACGTTGCTATATACAAAACAAATAAAGTTTAGCGATATAAATATTATAACAATTACAAAATAAATTTAAAATAAAGATAAAAAATAAAACATACATAATGTTACGTCGCCTACAGTGTGCATGCATTTGTTAGCAAATTGCTTAAATTGGATATTTTGAAAATGAATGATTAAATTTGGTATATATTTGATATTCGTGCTTCTAATATCTCATTTCCACATTCAGTAAACAGCTTCGATCCAAATATTTATAGCAATCGTTGAACACTTTCTCATTATCTTTGCAAATGGCTTTCCTTTGTTATTTTAAGGCCGTCTTGTATCACATATAAGATGATTATTTAACATAGTTGCCACATTCGGACGGCGGGTCGGCATTCGCAGTTTATATTATTTTCTAGGCTGTTGCTGCCCGTCTCTTGGTTACTCTCTGCCGCCTCTTATGGCACCCACCGGAACATATGGAGTGGTGTATATTCTAATTCCGCCACTGCACGATCAATATTGCCTTTATTATATTGCAGGACTTCAATAGGCTGTATGAATTAATAAATGAGTGATTTTGTACTAATATTATTATCATAGATGTCTTATTTGCTACCTGTATAAATAAATTTTAGCTACTATCCATATACCATTATATTCGTTTTAGCCCTTGTATTTAACTAAAATAAATAATTTATTATAGTAATCTATAATTTAAAAAGTTTATTTTTTTATTATAATTGTATTATATATTCATTTACAATAATGAGTATAATGCATTTTTAAAATATTACATAATATGTAAGACGTCTTAAGAGCGGCCAACCCGTCTAACTTTTCATACAAAAGCTTGTATGTGATTATGGCGTTGTAATAGATCTTTCTTTGAAAATTTTAATATATAATATAATTAATAGGTATTTTGTGCACTATATCTAGGTTCCTATCTAAACAAAAAATCTAAATTTGTAGAAACAAATTCAGTATAAGCCTCCAAAAATCTGCTTTTTTGCATAAGTTTTACCTGAACTTTGGTCGTCCATAATGTACTCACTAATAGTAAAAGTAAAGAAATTATTTTATAGAAACCTCGCCAATGTAATGGAGACTGACTAAATGACAAAAATTTATTTCACAAACTTGTGGGTTACTGAAAAACACGTATTTCCTGGAACAAGTTTTATGAAATTCCCGCACACTATTTTCCGTTCAATAATATCGCGTTCTCACTTGCTTATTAGCCAAGTGGCGGTAAGAGGTATGCGGGGGACAAGTCGTGCGAGGTAGGGGCGGGGTGCGACGGGGGAGTTGAATGACGAGCGCCGGTGGCGCACGCGTTCGGCTCTCTGGCCTCTCGGAATTGTTAGTAGGTATTCAATTTGTTGACTGCGCTTCGTCAATGTGCCGTTGCATTTTATATTTAGTGACATCTGTTTTACCTACTACAGCGATCTTTTTTTTATACCGGACACTGATTTTGCTAGCGAAGGTTTAGCTATTTTATTATGTGAAACGAACCTGGCATTTGTGAATATGGACACAGACTTTGTTTGGATAAGGATTTTGAAGCAGATCGATTTTATTACTATTGAGAATGAGAATATTACTATTGTTATTAGATAATAATATGTTTTTTTACTAAATTTTCAATCACTTCTGACTGTAAACTCTTTGTGTTCGGAAATCGGAATCGTCTCGACAACCGGGTTGTTTTATGTATTGTTCATAAAGTGTAACAAAGTTCTTTAGAATAAAAATATATATTTATACCCAACTCTATTTAGACTACTTTATTTGCAATCAACCACCTGTACTACGGTACAAATTAGTACCTAAACAACATTTGGAGACATTTACATACGTTACAAGTAGGTACGTTACCTAATTTCAGCTTCCTAAATACAAACGGCCTAGACAGGTAAAGAGTTTATTCTGTTTATACCGCTACTCCATAAGCAGAATAAATTATTTACCTTTACATTTTCGTGCTCTGTTTAGGTATAACATGGACGAACAATATAAGTTGGATGGAACACCATGCTAAAACAAAACTGAGTCCAGTTTATGTCTGAGTATTGATGTTTGCGCGTGTAACGGCCGACTAATATGTTGTGAATGTTTGCGTGCCGGGCTTGTACGCACGACGACAAATCAAGGTATATAAACCAGTTTATGCGGTACTCTTATTGTACGGGAAATTGAAACAAAGCGAGGCCATGTTATACTGGAAATGTATAGCTTGATGTGTCGCCGAGTGTACTTACACACACGAGTTGGCCGACTCTGAGTGACAGTTATTTTTATTTGCGACATATTATTTTTTACATGGAAAATTATTTATAACATTATAAAATTATTTATAACATAAATAATTTCTTTAATATATTATATTTATAATTATAACATAAATAATTTCCATGTCAAAAATAGCGCACGTACGATACCTAGTTTGGTAAAAAACAACACACACATATCTCCGAGGCCAAGTGGCACGTCTATACTAGACAAAGAGCAATATAATAAAATAATATGGTACCTACTAAATGTAGGCATATAGTGAAATTTACAAAACTATAGCTATGCGCCATAGTAGCGAGCCCGTAAGTTACCGAATGCCAACCGAACGCTCAGGCGCTGTCTTTCTCTTTTCGCTTTGCCTCTTTTTCTAACATTGCGCTGGATGAAACAACAAGCTTTTTAACCATGCTCGCGTTGACGACAGCGTTGCCAACCGTACGATTTAAATCGTATTCATACGATCTTTTTAGCCCTAGTACGATGTACGATCCTGTACTCGAAATCGTACGCAAAATATACGATCTTTTCAAATATTATAATCTTTATAACAAAATAAAAATGATAATTGATTAAGTTCATTTTATCGATATGAAAAATCAATAACATTAAAATTGAACGAGCTCTAAACTTCTTTGTATTTTTTTATGAACGCATCCAATCCAATAATTTTTTAAACTCTCTATCCCACTCGCACTTTAGAAATATGCAGCGTACTATTCCGTCAACTCGCCGCCGATTAAGGAATTCCCCGCGCAGTTTAACCAAATTTCTTCGAGTTTGTTTTACGTCATTTTATTCGTTATAATCCAAATAATATTACACTACGCTGATGGACATTAGATTAACTACGTTTATCTTTTAATATATGTTTTTTTTTTGTTTGCGTTCCTTGGTTCAGTCTTATTGTGTATACGTATTGGTGTTTTTTGTTTCGTGTGGCTTTCATAAAAAAGTGATTGTTATACTTTTGTATTTATCCTGCAGAAATTAGGTACGTACTTTTACTTTTCGTCAGTTTGATATATTGTTTTTTCTTCATAATCATGGCAGAAACATCTAGAAATAAGCATAGCACACCAAAAAAAAACTAGAATGACGACAAGAATTACCAAAGTTAGAGCGGCAGAAACATAGGGCTCAAAAGTATCGGCCGGAGTGGGAAGAATTAGATGTATTTAAAAAGTGGCTCAAGCCAGGCCCTAACGAATTTAAAGCCAAATGCTTTATCTGCGACTCTATTTTAACTGCAGAGATTGGAGTTTTAAAAATGCATGCCAATAGACAAAAACACCTTGACGCAATGAAAATGTTGCCATCAACAAGTAAGCAAGTTTCCACAATGGCATCATTTGTAACGAAAAAAATCCCAACAAACGTTCAAAATGCCGAAGTAAAACTTACCGGTTTTTTAGTTGAGCATAATTTAGCGTTCAAAACGGCAGATCACTTGACGGAATTGCTAAAAAGCATATTCCCGGATTCAAAGATAGCTCAACAAATTTCTCTTAAAAGGACCAAAGCAACTGCCATTGCCACAGCAGTCATAGAAGAGACCGAAAAAGAAGTCATGGTGTCAAAATTAAAACAAAATAAGTTCAGTGTAATTTGTGACGAATCCACTGATATAAGTACCCAAAAGGCTTCTTGTATTGTCGTGAGATTTCGTGATGAGAAATCAAAACAAATAGTTAGTAAATTTTGGGAATTGACGAAAATATTTGATTTGTCAAATCCGGACTTAAATAACGAAGGAGCCACGGGGAAAAATTTATTTAATGCCTTAATAAAATCTTTTGAACAGGAAAATGTTCCTCTCACTAATTTAATAGGATTTGCTGCTGATGGTTGCAGTGTGATGATGGGAGAAAATAATTCCGTTTCCAGTCGCCTTAAAGAGCATTGTCGTGGTATAGTAATAATGAAATGTGTGTGTCACTCTGCCCACCTTTGCGCCTCTTCAGCCTGTAAGTAGCTCTTTACAGGCTAGAAGATGCGAGGATTTAGCTCGAGAAATATACGCTTTTTTCAAAAGTAGTTCTAAGAGATAATGTCAGTTCGCTGAATTTCAGGAATTTCTTAAACTGAAACCACACAAAATGCTTCATCCATCTCAGACTCGTTGGCTCTCACTTGTTGCAGTTGTGGAAAGAATACTCGAACAGTGGGATGCATTGAAACTCTTCTTCACAAACACATGGCTCAGCGAGAAGCTCGTTTCAACAGAAATCATATTTAATAACTTAAATGATCCATTCATCAAATTATACTTTAATTTTCTCGCATGGATTTTACCTAAATTTACAGAGTTTTACAAATTTTTCCAATCAGAAAACGTTGTGATAACTTCGCTAAATGACAAAATTCACGAAATATACCGGGACATTCTACTCTGTTTTTTAAAGAGAGATTACGTTATGAAACATGAACTTGAATCAATAAATTTCGTCAATGAAGAAATTTGGTTAAGAAACGAGCAAATGTACTTAGGCGTCAGAGTAATGAATGATCTCAAAAATCTTGAAATTTCAAGAAGTAAACTGGAACTCAATAAATTTTTTAGTGTTTGCCGCAATTTCCTGGTAACGAGTGCTAAAGAAATAAAAAAGCGTTATCGCATGAATGACCCCCTTTTATCAAAACTTCATATACTACATCCTGCGAATGCTGCATCGTCAAAATTTCGAGAATCTGTTCCTTCGATATTTTCATTAATCGAGTTACTTCCTAGAGTAGTACAGATGGACAACATGAGCTTAATTCAAAACATCGATAATCAATGGAGAAATCTTCCAGCTAAATTTAATGAATTAGATTTGACTTTACCGATTGATAAATTTTGGAGTGAATTGCACCTATGTCAAGATTATAGGGAGCTATCACAATTCGCATTAGACACTTTGTGCATTCCCCATTCGAATGCACAATGTGAACGAGTATTCAGTCACGTCAATCTAATGAAAACAAAAATTCGGAATAAATTGTTGACAAAAACAGTGAATGGGACTTTGTTGGCTGCACAACATATTAAGGAAACTGGATCATGTATCGATTTCAAGCCATCTGACGAGATGTTGTGCAAATTAAATTTGAGTATGTACAAAAGAATAAATACTTCGTCTCCCGAGTCTACTGCTGCGCTCAATGACTCTGATAGTGAATAATATTCAAAATACTATTTGTTATTATGGGACTTATAGGGCCAAATTCTACGAAAAATCGTAGATGGCACTGTACAATGACTTGTTGGTAATGACTTCTTAGCAATGTCCTTTATATGAAGACCAAAGAAAAACTTTATCAAAATATATCAATTGATATTGTTTCAAAGTTGTGCCAGTTCATTAGAATTAATTTTAATTTAAATATTGCGCTATTACTAAAGTCTCAATCGTATGCTCAAGTACCTGATAGATCATAATATACTCTAAGAGCTATATTTGTATTGATTTATATATGATTAATATTTTAACTTTGCTAATTATTTTGTAATGTAAAATGATCTCAGCGCTTAATAGTAATAGATATAAGTATGTTTTTCCATGTTGAGTGTGAATTTTATTGTTTATTGATGTTTAGTGAAATAGTAGAAGTAGCTCTATTTTATACCGACTTCAAAAAGTAGGCGGTATTAAATTCGACTGTGTTTTTTTTAAATTTTTTTTATGTGTTTTCCTATCAACCGATTTCAATGATTCTTTTTTTATTTGAAAACTGGCGCTTTACGTTTGGTCCCATATAAATTTGATCAAGGTTTGACAAATATTTTTTGAGTTATTCTTAATAGTTTATTTTGAAGTCGGTTGTACAAAATCTTTAATTTTAAATTATTGTAATATATGGCAGAGTGGGTGGTACAGTCCGAACCCCTTTTCGTTTAATTAAAAAAAGTCGTAGTAAAGTTTAGTGTTTTCTTAAATGTTATACCCTAAATGTTAAATTTTGCTTTGACGTTATAATAATATTATTTTTGTATTTTTTACCATTGTTTTATTGAAATTTTAATGCGTACTATTTTTTTTGGATTCTTAGAAAAATACGAATTTTTCCAGTTTATGGTACGATCTCCTAAAAAATAAAGTTGGCAACCCTGGTTGACGATAGACGGGCCGGGAAGGGCCCTCTTAAGCATCGTTCAGATCTACAGACATTGAGCCTGCTAGAAACGTGGCGTGACAGACAAAATAATATTCTTTTATAAGGTACGTGGGGGTAAGGTCATCTTAAGCTTTGCCGCCTTATAAAACCAAAACTAGGAGGAGGACAGAAACAAATACACAATGTCGTATACTATAACTAATACAGAAAAAAATAACAAACAGGCCTTGGCAATAATTAGCAACACTTCGAAAAATCAACTTAAAAAAGCTAACTATAGTAGGTGAGGGTAATAAGGTCATCCGGTTAATATGGTCACTTTCTTAAAACTCAAAAGCTACAACGTCGTTTGCATAGAACGCTCTGTGATATGATAGATCTTGATCAGTCTATCAAATAATAAAGGGTCAAAAAGGCGCTCCTTTATCGACGCCATTTTGATTTTTGTATTGTGTAGTGTAGTTAGTTTTTTTTAAGTAGATTTTTCGAAGTGTTCTTAATCATTTCCAAAGTTTGTATGCAATTTTTTTCTTAATATATTAGTTATAGTATACGATTTTGTGTTTTTGTCTCTGTTCTCCTCCTAATTTTGGTGTTATAGGGCGATAAAGCTTAAGGTGACCATATAACCCTCACGTACTTACTATAATATCAACTGTCAAAATAGCATCAATAAAGCGGCGGCCTTTTGACGCTTTATTATTTGAATGACTGATAAAGAGCTATCGTATCACAAAGCCACCTATGCAAAGTATGCTGTAGTTTTTGAGTTATAAGAAAGGACCATACTAACCGGATGACCATATTACCCTCACGTACTCTAGATATATATATATATATATATATATATATATATATATATATATATATATATATATATATATATATATATATATATATATATATTCACATCTAGCGCACGCAAGCGGAGCGTGTCAGCGCAGACACGGGCCGGCACTGACCAGCATTCTCAACAAGAATGTTTTGTCTGTGCTGGTGCGTGTCTGCGGGTGTCTAGTATACATTTTGGTATGATATGTGTGATAGCAGGTACAGTGACAACCAAAAAAAAAGAAAGAAGTAGCAGAAAAACTTCAAGTTCCATGTAAGAAGAATTTTATTTATGAAAAATCTTGTAAGCACGTGCACTTTATAATTTACCTGATGACGTCTGTTCATGCTGGGTGCGTGAGATGTGAAAACTGTTGTCTGTGCGGTATCTGCCACGTTACGTGCTGGGCACTCTACGTGCTGGGCACTCTACGTGCTGGTAAATATGAACGAAGCGTACGATAAGCCTATTCATTGTCGTTTTGCACTTAAAAATAAATTACTCTTAATAAAGCATCTCTACATATATTAATATTGTAATCATATAAATTATAAAACATTGTCATAAAGTGCTAATTGAACAAATTAATTCGATTCGCAAACCAATTATCTTTAGTCACGATGTTCAAAGATTAACGATGTTTATTACTAAATAAATCATGCAAGGCAGACTTGAATTTGCATAAAGCTGTCGAGTATATATAAAAGCGTAAAAATTATAAGATTAATTTATTTTAAATTAATTAAGAATTTCAAAAGAATTTAAAATATGTTATTTTATATTAATTAGGTACCACTATTGTATTTAATGTTTATGGTTATAGGCAATTTTATTAAGATAAATAAATCAAGGTTCTTGAGTGGCAGCCTCTTACCTGTAAGCGAAGTGTGTAGAGCGACCATCCACTAGATATAGTGACCACCTGTTATGACATACAGGAAGTCGATGGATGCAGGTGGTTCAGGACCGTGTTTTGTTGTATTCCTTGGGGAAGGCTTATGTTCACCAGTGGACTTGTGAATGGTTTTAGTGATGTGATGAAATAAATCAATACGAAAAGTAAGCATTCAGGACCTTAAATATATAAGTAAAGTTCTTCAACAAACAAATAAACAATTTGCTAAAATCTTATGTTAAAGTAATGTAGAATGAGTACAAATACGTATGCTACTTTAAAGACCCTCATGCATGAACTGAATTACTTAAAAGCAAAGTCTTGTTTTTCCCGCATAATAAGACGACAGATGGGTAAGTTCCGAACGTACCTTGTTTCAAATCTTATAAAGTGTTATACATATAAAGGACCATTATTTATAAAATTGAACATTCCATAACTTATAAATAGCTGCAGGCATTTTAGAAGTTAATTATTTTTGTGATTTATTGCAATCATATTAACTTGAACATGTGTAACTACCGCTGTATAATATAATATTTCAAGCTAATAAGTAACCTATTTTATAACCATAATAAAAAAGTAAGAATAATACGAGTATTTTAATATTTTTTTTTAAATTAATTCTAAGTAATGTTCTCATTAATTGTTCATTCATTTACAATAAGCATTTAATATTTTCATTAAGACATAAATAGCCATTTTTAATATTTTATCTGTATGTATGTTTGTCTGTTTATCTGACCGGATCAATATTGAGAATAGCAGATCCGATTGTGATCTAAGCGATATTTTATCCGAAAAAGTAATACTTTTTTTTTGAGAAACCAAACATAGATAAACTAAATAGTCTATGATGATTATCTTAGGTTTAAATAACGACACATCAATAGATCCTACCCAGACGAAGCCGGGCCAGGTCGCTAGTAAACAATCAAAAAGCCCCCGTTGTACAATTTGGACTACATTCATTTTCATAGTAGCAGCAGTTTCGATTTACTCTAAAATCTGACTCAGCTACAGCGACAATAAAGCACTGTCATTTAAACTGACGGCATCAGCTTCCATTGTGGTCAATACTGCACGGGAGCTCCGCTACAATACTCGACTAGTCGACGGTACAGGCGATGTATCTACGCTATATATTAACTCTTGCTAAATACGGGAAAAATTGTTCATAAAGGAAAACCGCGGAAAAGACACAATGGTTAAACTATCAGTGGAATAGTTAATTATCAAATCTTATTTATTTATTTATTTATTTAACAATTTATGTACACACAAAATAATGTTACAAGGAAGAGAAAAAAAAAGATATTTTGTACAAAGGCACTGCTTATTTCATATTGAAATTTCTTCCAGCAGGCCTGATACTGGACAAATTAAAAGAGAAGTTGATCTAGTGTGCACTCTCATAATAAAATTTTATAATATTAATATACTTAACATAAAGTAAAGATAATAAAAACAAATATCCATGTAAACATACATATAACTAAATACCACTATAAATACATATACACACATACATATATATATATATATATATATATATCTTACATATATAAATATAATAATATATTATATATATAATCATTGGGACGACAAAGAAAGATAGTGCTCTTTGACTCGCCTTTTGAACACGGACACTGATTGAGCCTCTCGAATTGCAGCAGGAAGAGAATTCCATAACCTAACTGCATGTACTGTAAAAGAGTGAGAATAGGACTTAGTTTTATCTTTACAATATTTAAAATCTATATGTCATACCACTGATGACACTGGCCTCTTCTCATTTCCTATAGTTTTGGAGCAACAAGTCTTAAAGCCACAACCCTCCAGTGCGTGTTAATGGACTTCACATTTCATCGAAATATTTAATTCCTAAATCACCACTGAAAATGCAATAAATAATTTAATTAGTGCCGTCGGTGATCGATCCATGACGATCGATCGATCACTGACGGCTCCGTGGCGCAGTGGCTTAGCAATGATTTGCAGCGCTAAGAGCCGCGGGTTCGAATCCCGCACGGTACAAGTATTTGTACGGCCTTCAAATAATTGTTCTGGGTCTGGATGTTTGTCTTTGTGAAATCTAAGTATGTAAACTACCATCGCGATATAGAAGAAAATCCTAGCGTGGAGGTAACGTTTTTAAAAAAAAAATCCATGGGTGCTTGCGTACTGTCAAATTTTCATTGAAAATTGAAAATTGAAATTAGCGTCTAAGCTGCTGCGGCTCTTGGTTATAATGTTTATTGTGTATTTATATATTATTTTTTCTTTTACTTATTGGTTAAATTATGTACACCTAACCTATTCGCAATTCGTTGTAAACA